GCCCTGTGCTGGGGTTCCAAGCTGTATAGAGGCTGTCTTGACACATTTTTAAATTTGTATCTTGTAAATTAAGTCCCATGAGACAATGGAGCATGTGCCTGGGAACCTGACTCACACACAGTTCTGTCTCCTGCTACATTTCTGCCTCCCACCCATGGGCTCCTGGCTGTCTCCTCCAGTGTCTCTGCTCAGCAACTGTTGTGACTCTCTGCTCCTGTGGAGGTCTGGACGCAGGTGTAGGGTTGGGCTCAGGGAAGGGTCAGGCATATGATTCCTCAGGCCCAGCAGTTGGGTGGGGGCCCTGAGGCCTACGAGGATCTTCCCTCACTCCTATCTCTCCAAGCCTGAGGGAATGTAACATTGAATAGCAAATAAAAAACCACCACTTGTTGAAATATTGATCCTGGAAGACAGGAGAAAGCTTTTTGCTGATATTTGAATGAGGGTCCCCCATTGGCAATTCACAAGAAGCTTGGGAACTTATGTAGTCAGTGCTCACTGGGAGCAATGACTGCTGATAGCTCACAGCTGCACCTCCCCCTGGGCAATGCCCTCCACCCTAGGCAACTGCCTAGCCCCAAGCTGCCTCCTGCTAGCAGCAGGCCAAGGTCACTGACTGGCCCTTTAAGGGATACCTGAAAGGTATGGCCTCTGAAGGGCCATCCCAACTCAAGAGCTTGTTGAAGGACCAATTAAAGTCTTAGTTTCTTCCACTTCATTGTGGGTCAGCTTCTCCCTCTGCCAAATCCTGCCTTCTTCATGCATATATCTCCTGAGAATGCACCGTAATAAGCTTTCCACATGGAAATGGGTCTCCAAGTCTATTTCCAGAAAACCCAGCCTAAGATACTTCTCCTAGGACTTTGCTCTGTGAATATCATCTATCCCTCTGATATCAAGTTACATTCTATTTCCCTATAGTTAACTCTCTACTCCTCACGTGTTAAGTCAAATACCCCTTGGAGATCCTCATGTACCACATCTTCACAGCATTTATCATAACTGAAATTTTACATTCCTATGAGTGATCATTAAGTTCTATCTTCCTCACTAGACTCAGTTCCATGAGGGCAAGAAATCATGCCCTTTTTTTGCTCATTGTTCTATCCCTCAGGTTTAGCATAATCCTGGTATGCGGGAAATTCTCAGTACATATATGTTGAATGAAGGAGTGAGGGAATGAATGACGCCTTTTGACTGAAGGGACGTGAAAAATAATTCTAAGACTATAATGAATATTTCTGAATGCCCTTAATAGTGGTAAATACTTTGAAAATGGATTTTAAGTTTTGGTAGTGATCAAAACTTACTGGGAACTAAATTTAGTTAATGACGTAATGACGGTGGTTGTAATTTTGGTAGAGACCAATGTATGACCAAGAAATCACCAGAATTCTTCTCCTTTAAGGCTCTTACACTGTTTCTCAGAAGTAAATTCTCAAAGAGAAAAAAATTTGGAGCAGGGTCATAATAATCGTGAAGTATGTAGGTGTTAATTTTTTTTAATGTTTATTTTTGAGAGAGCACAAGCAGGTGAGGGGCAGAGAGAGAGGGGATCAGAGGATCCAAAGAAGGTTCTGTGCTGACAGCAGTGAGCTGGATGTGGAGCTTGAACTGTCAGACCATGAGATCATGACCTGAGCTGAAGTCGGATGCTCCACTGACTGAGCCTCTGTAGGTATTAATTTTGATGAAACACATTTTGAGATCTTCTAAAAATCACTTATTCAGGGGCACCTTGGTGGCTCAGTCAGTTCACACATCTGACTTCTGCTCAGGTCATGATCTTGCAGTTCATGGGTTCGAGTCCTGCATCAGGGTTTGATGACTGCTTTGGATTCTGTGTTTCTGACTCTCCCCTGCTCGTGCTTATTCTCTCTCTCTCTCTCAAATGCAAATAAGCATAAAATTTTTTTTGATCACTTATTCAATGTGTCTCTAGCATTGTATTTGAGACAAAAGAGACTTCAAAATAAATATAATGCCCGACCTCTGTCACCTGTGATCCCTCTAAATATGAGGAGTTGGTCAGAAATTTCAGAGCAGGACAAGGTAACCAAATGTGTCACAAGCTTTTGGGTTACTGTTCTAATTTCAATCCCATTCTTGACAAAAGAGCAAGTCTTAAAAACTCATGTTCCATAAAATCTGAAGGCCACTGTTCTCCACACAGAATTCAGAATCTTATGGCACAAAAACAGACACTCACATCAATGGAACAGAATAGAGAATCCACAAATTGACCCACAAATGTACGGCCAACTAATCTTTGACAAAGCAGGAAAGAATATCCAATGGAATAAAGACAGTCTCTTCAGCAGGTGGTGCTGGGAAAACTAGACAGTGACATGCAGAAAAATGAACCTGGACCACGTTCTTACACCATACACAAAAATGAACTCAAAATGGATGAAAGACCTAAATGTCAGACAGGAAGCCATCAAAATCCTCAAGGAGAAAGCAGAAAAAAACCTCTTTGATGTTGGCCACAGCAACTTCTTACTCAACATGTCCCCAGAGGCAAGGGAAACAAAAGCAAAAATGAACTATTGGGACCTCATCAAAATATAAAGCTTCTGCACAGCAAAGGAAACAATCAGCAAAACTAAAAGTCAACCAATGGAATGGGAGAAGATATTTGCAAATGACATATCAGATAAAGGGTTAGTATCCAAAATCTATAAAGAACTTATCAAACTCAACACTCAAAAAAACAAATAATCCAGTGAAGAAATGAGCAAAAGACATGAATAGACACTTCTCCAAAAGAAGACATCCAGATGGCCAACCAACACATGAAAAACTGTTCAACGTCACTCATCATCAGGGAAATAGAAATCAAAAGCACAGTGAGAAACTACCTCACACCTGTCAGAATGGCTAACATTAACAATTCAGGCAACAACAAATGTTGGCAATGATGCTGAAAAAGAGGATCTCTTCTGCATTGCAAGAATGCAAACTGGTGTAGCCACTTTGGAAAACAGTATGGAGGTTCCTCAAAAAAATTAAAAATAGAACTATCCTCTGACCCAGCAATTGTACTACTAGGTATTTTTCCAAGGGATACAGGTGTGCTGTTTCAAAGGAGCGCATGCATCCCAATGTTTATAGCAGCACTATCAACAATAGCCAAAGTTTGGAAAGAGCCCAAATGTCCATTGATGGATAAAGAAGATGTGGTGTATATGTATGTGTGTATATATATATATATATATGTGTGTGTATATATATATACATATATATATTTGATTGCCAAATATATGTGTGTATATATATATATACATATATATATTTGGCAATCAAAAAGAATGAAATCTTGTCATTTGCAACTACATGGATGGAACTAGAGGGAATTATGCTAAGTGAAATTAGTCAGAGAAAGACAAATATCATGACTTCACTCATATGAGGATTTTAAGATACAAAACAAATGAACATAAAGGAAAGGAAGCAAAAATAATATAAAAACAGGGAGGGGGACAAAACATAAGACACTCTTAAATATGGAGAACAAACAGAGGGTTGCTGGAGGGGTTGTGGGAGGGGGGTGGGTTAATGGATAAAGGACATTAAAGACTCTACTCCTGAAATCATTGTTGCACTGTATGCTAACTAACTTGGATGTAAATTAAAAAAATAAAATAAAATCATTTACAAAAAAAGGAATTCGGAATCTAAAAGTCTCAGCATGAGTCTCACTGCCCAATTTTCCTATTATATTTTCCTGGAGTACCTAAATAAGTGAAATGAATTATTTTATTGTATGCATGCAGATGTCAGCTGAGAACAGGCAGGACTGCTTATCACATTTATTAAAAGTGAACACAGACAGGGGTGCCTGGGTGGCTCAGTTGGTTAAGCGTCCGACTTCGGCTCAGGTCATGATCTCATGGCTCGTGGGTTCGAGCCCCGCGTCGGGCTCTGTGCTGACAGCTCAGAGCCTGGAGCCTGCTTCAGATTCTGTGTCTCCCTCTCTCTCTGACCCTCCCCTGTTCACGCTGTCTCTCTCTCTCTCTCTGAGAAATAAATAAAACATTAAAAAAAAAAAAAAAGTGAACACAGACAGTGGCTGGGACCATGTTTAATCATATTGTGCCTAGGTGTGGGATGCTGGCTCTGAGACATTAGTCACATCATTCCCTGTGTAGGTGGGGGTGCTCCTTTTTGAAGTCTTAACTCTGTCAGAGGTTCAAGTAGACTTGTGGTTGGGATCCACATCAGCCCAGGCTGAGGAAGATATACTAATGTCATCAGATGTACTTCTTCTGAGGTTTACCTAGAGAGGCCTGTCAGAATCCCAGAAATTTTGTATTGTTTACTTAACATAATTGCTTAATTAATCAAAGAATTAATACCCTTTTAATCAAAGAATTCTCTGTAGGCCACTTTGAAACAAACTCATCAAAATAAACACCAGTTGCCTTTGCTCTCTACTACACATTTTCAATCACAATTTCACCTTTATCCACCTTTATTCACCTTTATCCATTCCCCCATCCACACTCAACGGGAAAGGAGATATTTACTCTAATGTACTAAGTGTTAGGGGGTTCTTCTTTTTCTTATCCTATTAAAATTTACCTCCTAGGTTCCTGGAATTTTAGGACCCAGGCCCTAAAATTTTCCAGAGGCGGAAACCAAAGCTTTATCAACTCAGGAATGTGGCACCAGGGAGGTGGTTATTGGTGTAACGTACTAGATGCCAACTATGGATTCAGTTCTTTCCTTCTCACCATGAAAACACAGACCATTTCCAACTCACAAAGAAGGCTCCCTGTGCCTACCAGGAAAGGAGAGCAAAGAAACCCCCAAACAACCAGTTAAGCCAATCCTCTTACATCACTCCACTTAAGGCAAGATGACAACATAAGGGCTTTAGGGAGAAGGAAATTAGAAGAATTATGTCCAAGGCTCCGTTTGCCCTGGGAATAGATCAGCTCTTTCCCCTTCTCTCCAACTCTGTGCCCCACCCTTGGGACCGACGGAGAGCCACTCACCCTCTGTGTGACAGGCTTGCCATCCTGGATCTGCACAGCCAGGCCCAGGTCGGACAGCCTGCAGTTGCCAAGGTCGTCCAGAAGCACGTTCTCCGGCTTCATGTCCCGGTAGACGATGCCGAGGGAGTGGAGGTGTTGCACTCCACAAGTCATCTGGGCCGAGTAGAAGACCACTCTGCTCATGTCCAGGCCCCGTGTGCCCACACTGTAGATGTGGAACTTAAGGTCTCCCCCATTCATCAGGCTCATGACCAGGCAGAGATGGGACTTGCTCTCAAAGGCATAGGCCAGAGAGACGATGAAAGGGCTGCTGACCTTTTCCAAGATTTCCTTTTCTGAAAGAGCCATTTTCTCTCCATTTTTCTTCTTCAGCCGCTTCTTGTCAAGTTTCTTACAGGCATACATCTTACCAGTGTTTTTCACCTGGACAGCACATACCTTAAAGAGAGAAAGAAAGGGAGAGGGTGAGATAGAAGTAGGAAGCACTAGTGAGAGAAGAGAACAAGGCTGATACAGGGGGTGGAAGGGCAGAAATCAGGTGAGGTGAGAAGATGGCAGGCTTCTGAGAAAAGAGAAGCCACAAGCAATAGGGGTTCTTCAAGAAAGAGCTAGGATCTCCCCCCATTATGAAAAATAAAGGGCCGTAATGAAAAATAAAGGGAAAATAGCAAGTGTTAGCAAGGATGTGGAAAAACTGGAATCTTCATGAATTGCTGGTGGGAACATAAAATGTGGAAGATTTTGGTGGTTCCCCAAAAAGTTTAACATAGAATTGCCACACGACCCTGAAATTCCACTCCTGGACATATACACAAGAGAAATGAAAACAGATATTCAAATACATGTAGATGAATATTCATAGCAGCACTGTTCACAGTAGCCCAAAAGCAGAAATGACTCAAGTGCCCAACAACAGATGAAATGAAGTATACCCACACAATAGAATATTCACCCATAAAAAGGAATGAAGTACTGATATATCTACAACATGAATGAACCTCCAAACACTATGTTCAGTGAAAGAAGCCAGATGCCAAAGGTCACATGTTATGATTCCTTTTAGACGAAGCATCAGAGTAGGCAAATGCATGGAGACAGAGAGCAGACCAGAGGTTGCCAGGGACTGTGGGGAGGGACTGGGGAGTGTTACTGGGTACAAGGTGATGAAAATGCCTTGGAACTACATAGAGGTGATGGTTACACAACACTATTATGAATGTATTCAATGCCACTGAAATGGTTAGTGGTTAATTTTACGTTATGTGAATTCTGCCTCAAAAAATGTTTTTCTACTTAAAAAGAAAAAGAGCTGATCATGGCAGTGGTATAAAATTGATTCTCAATTTTACTTCAAGATGAAAGTTTTCTCAGATATCTGAAATTTTCTCAAATTAGGGCCATTACCACAATGAAGGGAAATGGAGAGCTCCCTTGGGCATGTGTTGCTATCTTTCTCCAAAGTGTCTGGGGAGCACTTCAGTGTGCTTCTGGTATAGACCCTATCATAAATATTCTTGGCCAACTCCACATTTTGTTTGTCTTCCCTATGCCACTCTCATTTTATTTCACGTGGTGGCCAGAAAAAAGATGTGAGAGTGAGCTAGGAATTCTCCACAGGCAGCACTGAAATCAGTTCTAAGTAAGTCCTCCTGAGTTGTCTTTATTTTTAAAGGCAAAACCAAATCCTTTTATGCTGTGTATTTCACCTTCCAGTCCAGCCATTCTGAGAATACTTACCTCCCCGAAACCACCTTTCCCCAGAACTCGGAACTCATCGAAGTACTTGTCCGACACCGGTTGCATCTCAAAGACTTTCCACTGCAAAAACTTGTCATAGAAGGGGCTGGTCAGGAAATCCCGGAAGGGCTGGTCCTGCAAGAAGGCCATGACCTCGGCCTTGGCCTGTGCTACCAGGGCTACCTGGTCTTCCTCAGTGGTGGCTGCTTGGCACTTGATGGCCAGAGCCGGGCTGAGGAAAGGATGTAGGTGCCCTGGGGCAGAAACAGCCACACAAGTGGCCACTAGCCCCTGCAGCATGCTGCCCTTGACAGGACCCTCCTCAGCCAGCTCCCAGCCCTGCACCTCCTCAAGGAAGGCCACGGCCTCTTGGTATGGGGACACTGTGGCTAGGAAGTCCCGGAAGAGGCGGCGGCCGATGGGCTGCTGCTCGCATAGGCTGTTGAAGTCCTGGGGCAGGGACTGGCGGAGCTGGGTGCAGCACTGTGGCCCGGGCAGCACCAGGCTCCGGCGCCGCCTCTGCAGCTCCCTGCTGTCTCCATCCAAGGTCTTCCGGGCCTGCAGGTAGGCCGTGTTGGCAATCAGGTTGTCCAGGCCCCCCATATCGACCATGGCTGAGCACGAGGTATGCTCCCAGGAAAAGAAAAGGAAGGATGGACGGCTATGATGGGGAAATACTCAGTAGGTCTGGGGGCCAGCTGGCTGGTTTCCCTTGCAAGGTTCAGTAGCTTCCAGAGGATTTACAGTGAATCTGCGGGTAGCACTGGCAGAGGGCAGGTACAGAAAAGAGGTTACTCTTGTAAGAAGCTTTGCTAGCTATGTATAGCCGGCCAGAGAAGGGCACATCACAGGTCATGCTCCCATCCACCAAGAGCAAAGCAGCCAGAAACACCTGTGAAGGCCACCTGTTCATCATGGTGACCTCTTCCATACACACCTGCTCCCAAAACACACAGTCACCACTTTCCAAAGGAAAGGAGTCATAATAAGGTGGTATACTATTTGTTGCTGACAGCATTATTTTATTAAACTCCTAATTTTACACATTTCCTATGAGGCTCAAGCTAGGTAAACTCCTAGGAATGCCAGGTCGGTCAGGTAGAGGAACTGTGAGAGGTAGGAGAGGTTTTCTTCCGTGTCTAGCAGCCCAACACAGAGCAGGTTACAGAAGGGGATGCTCTGAACTTTGAGTCCTGAGACATGTTCCCAGAGGCCCTTGGGGACTCATGTTGTGGCCCTCAGAGTGGACCGTGGCTTTCCCACAGCCAGTTGCACCCTGAACGGTCTGCAGAGATCATCCATTTATGGCTTTCCAAGTTCCCAGGAGTCTGAGACCTAAAGTACTGGGTGATAAAAAAGCAAGGGGTGGGGGTCATCTTGGCCCCAAACATCCCATGAAGTGACATAAGCAGAAAAAGAACACCACTTCACCACATGGGGTTGCAACTGTTCCAAGGGCATAATCTAGTGAGTGGAATCTGAACGTGAACTAGCCTCCGTCTGTGTAGAGACCCAGAGCAGCGCAGTTTCAGGCGTGGCCCCTTGACATCTTTGCCAATACTCTCTCGTGAAGCCAGGAAGCTTCCCTCTATGGAGACTGCTCAGAGCCGCCCCAGACCACGACCTCACAAAGAACAGAAATTGGTTTAGACAGAGATCAGGCTAAGAACCTCTGCTCCAAAAATAACACTTGTGTCCTACAGGGAAAGAGTACTCAGGCTTTTTCTTCACAAAGCAAGGCTAAGGCAGCTTAAAAACAAAGTCATTCAGTATTATGCCAGAGTGTTTAAAAGGGAGAAAGAGACAGAGAAAGAGAGAGAGAGAGAGAAACAGAGAAAGGGAAAGAGAGAGAAGGGGGGAAGCTGGTCAGTCGTTTTCTAAACAAACAACTTCTAGCACACACTCTGTCAAAACATCATCATGACCACCTCGATCGGCCTGTTGGAGCCTGCCCTCCGTTCCCCAGAGCAGATACATGCTTGGCCTCACGCTACCAAGAATTATGTAATGAACTCACGGGCGCACTTCGGCTTTGCACTGCTATGCTATAAACCATCACCCCTATGGTAGAGATAAGCAATCTGTGCCAGTGACCACTGCTCAGAAATGTTGGTACTTTTTTGTTCTTGATATGTCATCCTGCGTCCACATTTTTGAGTAGTGAAAAACCAGTCTGAGAATGTCTCTTAAGGCGGAAATGCCTTTTCCTGTGGTTCATATGAATACAATGGCAATGGAACAGGGCAGAACTTTGAGAAAATGGTAGAATTGTCATCACATCGGTATTTAACCTTATCGCCGAAAAAAGAAGGCTTTTCACTGATGAACATATATGCTATGAATGGCTTGATTCCACTTGGACTAATACCTTCCTTTACCTCTAGTAATCACTCCACCCAGCATTGTCTAATAGAAATATGTGAGGCCACATATGGAACTTAAGATTTCCTAACAACCACAATTATAAAAGTAAAAAGAAACAAGTGAAATTAACCTTAATAATATATTTTATCCCAGTATATACAAAATATTATCATTTCAATGTATAGTTGATATGAGTTGCTAATGAGATATTTTACATCCTTTTTTAAACTATATTTTTATTGCTGTTGCAAATGTTTCCTTTGCCATTTTTTAAATGTTTATTTATTTCTGATAGAGAGAGATTGAGAGCATGAGCGGGAAAGACAGAGAGAGAGGGAGACAGAGGATCCAAAGTGGGCCCCGCACTGATAGCAGAGAGCCAGATGCAGGGCTAGAACTTGCAAACCACAAGATCATGACCTGAGTGGAAACTGGATGTTCAAACAACTGAGCCACCCAGGACGCCTACATGCTTTTTTATGTCCTGAGTTTTCAGAATATGTTTGTATTTGACACTTACCACACATATCAATTCAAACTATCTACATTTCAAACGCTCAGTAGATTCATGTGGCCAGTGGCTACCCTATTGGACAACACAAAATTAACCCTTCCTTACCTAGTTTTGTCATGAACTAAGGGGACTTGTTTGTTTGTTCGTTTGTTTTCTAATTAGTAATCCCATAGGCCATCTGGGTTAAAAAACAAAAAACAAACAAAAAAAACCCCTAGAAAACAAAAAACAAAAAAGCTCCTGCACCCTCTTTTAGCTAAAAATTACCTAACTGATTAGAACAGAATTTAGATAATATTTGAACACAGAATTCAGAAGCTATAAAATAACTACCTGATGCCTATTGACAATTTAAACCAGAGTGTCATTATTTTTAAGTTTTACTCACCTGAAAAAAAAAAAAAGAAAAGAGGTCTGTTTAAAACAGAACACTTTATGTGATTACTAACAATTAGGGTCCAGGGCTTTTCCCAACTTGATGAAACAGTAATTGTAGATCCAATTAAATAACAGTACTGTATCCTTAGCTTTAGAAGCAGAGCCAAGTGCTGGGCACATTCAGGATACCCTGTGCCAAGGGGGAAAAATACCAGAAAACTTGGACTGGAATTGTGGCCCAGCAGTTAAGAGCACTAACTCCAGCACCACTTGGGAAAGCTGAATCTTGACTCTAGGAAGTCTTAGCTGTGTGATCTTCAGCAAGTCACTTAACTTCTCTGAGTCTCAGTCTCATTATCTGAAAACAGAAATAAAGTGCTGATTCTTGAGTAGGTCCTTATGCGAATTAAATGCCAACTAGTGCCTGGCACGATGAAGTGATCAAAAAGTACTAACTTCTGAATGATGACTATGAATCATCAAAACTTCACTTATAATTATGCTTTTGGTGGGGCGGGCAACTCTTGATCTCGGGGTTGTGAGTCTGAGTCTCAAGGTGGGTGAGATTACTTAAAAATAAAATCTTAAAAAATAGTAAATATTAAAATAATACAATTATGCTTTTCTGATATGCAGGTTGGAGGTAGGAGAGACCTAAGCAATGTGGAAGGAGGTGGGTTTCTGTGTGCAATGTTCACATAGCTTAGAGTGGCCAACTCAGGATTTCACGTGACCCTGGAAAGCTGTGGGGTCTGGTGCAGCTAGAAGACAGAGAGACCAGATGCATTAAGCGACACGCACAAGTTCTAATAATAAACTTTGAAAAAAAAAACCTGTTATGATGGAGAAAACAATGAAAATATTTTACTATCTTTTATGATTAAGTTTGCAACGTAGAAAAAAGAAAAAACATGCTCTTTACCCAGGTCTTCCATTTCATTTGGCATCGTGGGGTTTAAACCATTATTTCTTTTTTTAAAAAATTTTTAATGTTTTATTTATTTCTGAGAGAGAGAGACAGTGTGAGCAGGGGAGGGTCAGAGAGAGAGGGAGACACAGAATCTGAAGCAGGCTCCAGGCTCTGAGCTAGCTGTCAGCACAGAGCCCGACGTGAGGCTCAAACCCACGAACTGTGAGATCATGACCTGAGCCAAAGTCGGCCACCCAACCGACTGAGCCACCGAGGCACCCCTTAAACCATTATTTCTGCCATGGATGTTCTTAAATTTTAAAATGCTCTGATATAATCCAACATTTGAAACTCAAAGACCATAAAAAAATTAGGTTAAAGTAGTAATATGGTATGCTTGATTTGCTCCTTTTTTTAAGGATTTTTAATATTGAAAATATATCCATGGATAAAGAAAATAGCAAAGTTTCTAGCAAGAACATGACCCTCCTTTACAATCCACAGTTCTCTGCACGGACCAATAGCATACGTATTTGAGGATCAAGAATAATGAAACAGGGGCACCTGGGTTGCTCAGTCAGTCGAGCATGTGACTCTTGATTTTGCCTCAAATCATGACTGAGGGATCATGGGATCAATGGATCGTTGGATGGAGCCCTGCACTGGACTCCGCACTGAGGGTGGAGCCTGCCTGAGATTCTCTCTCTCTCTCTCTCTCTCTCTCTCTCTCTCTCTCTCTCCCCCTTTGCTCCTCCTCTGTTCTCTCTCTAAAAAATAAAATAATAGCATAATTTTTAAAAAGAAGTATGGAATCATATCACTTGATATGATGTGGTCTCAGAAACAAGATATTTTGTACATTGAATGTAAGTTCTGAGGCAGAATAATAGGTTAGCATTAGGATACCCAAAGAAGCCAGGTTATTCTTCAACTTCTGAATTAAATCCTTCCTTAGTAAAGATTTTGCTTTTTTCTTTTAGTAGAAGCCCTCTGCTGGAAGGAAAAGCAAAAGGGTCTTTATCCTTCCAGTAACAGCTGACCACACTTTATATTTTAATAATTTGAAAAAGTGAAGGATATCTTATTGGTTAAAATTTGCTGAATACTAAACAGAGAAGAGAGGGAAGGGAGCTAGATAAATTTTAGACTACTAGTTCAATGTGGTCCCAGAATTTTCTCACAAAAAATTAGTTTTCAACCACTTTGTCTTTTGTGTTGAAATTCTGAATAGTAGGATCAATGGGTGGTCCTGCTGGATTTTCTTCAACTGAGTTCTACAGATAACTGAGGTTTTCTGAGTGAAATTAGAAAGAATTAGAATAGAATACACAAGGTATTTTTAGAGGACTAAGTATAAAAGTCATACAGGAGATAAAAATCATCATTTTATCATACCATTTTTAGAGATTTTTTGTTAATGGAAAATCTCAAATATACATAAAAGTA